CTATTATATGTCCAGGTATAGATTTTTTTTGGTCATGGCTGGTTGGAGTTCTATATGCCTCACTTATCTGTACATCCAATTCTCTACCTCTGTCTGGGAAGTTTTCTACTATTACTTTTGTGAACAGTTTTTTTATGTCAGTTGTACTTTCTCCTGTTTTTTCGTGGACTCCTATGAGTCTTATTTTCTTTTTTGGTACCGGGTATCATACTCCAGTCCTTGTGCTTGCGCAGCAGGCAGCAAAACCACTAAGCTAAATCCCTGGCCCTTCTGTGAGTCTTATGTTATTCTTCTTTGCATCATCTAGCAGCTGTTGGATTGATTTCTCATGGTCCCTTACTATCTTTAAAAAATCTCTGTTTTCATGGGCCTTAACTGCCATCCTGTCTTCTATATCTGATATTCTGTCTTCAGATTCTCTTAGTCTGCTCTGCCTGCTTTCAATGGAGCTTTTAATCTCCTGGATATCTGTTTGAATCTGTTTCATGGATTCCATTTCTTTCTTATGTTGGGCGATCATGTTTTCCATTTCTTATGCTGGGCATTCATGGCTTCCAGCATGTTTCTGATCTCATCTATTTTCTTATCTGTTTCTGCTCTAGAGCTTCTGATCATGTCTTTCACTCTGCTTACCTTGTCTGTATTCATCTGGGAGATTATTTCTGTTTTGAAATTTTCTAGAGCCTCATACATCTGCTATGTTACTTCCTGTGCTATCAGTTCAGGGTGTCCAAGTGGTTGCTTATTGGACTTTTCCACCTCATTTCCCCCAGAATTTCCTTTTCGTGGTGTGAAAGCCTGCATTTGTGCCTTGCTTAAATGTCTTCTCATTTTTGTGTTTGGTACTGTCCTTGGTTTAATTCCTGGGTTGATATTTCGAAATTGCTTAATGTATGTATCTTTGTTGCTTGTGTTTGAAACCCTTGTGGAATGATTGCTTTTCAGAGGTGTCTTCCAGATATAACTTGTGTTTGGGTTTTGAGACTCTAATCACTCTGAAGCTATTTTATTTTTCTTATAACAGGAAGGAAAACTAATTAGATCAATCACAACATGTTAGCCCAAATGACACAGTCAGCAATACCATAGCATCAAGCACAGCTTAGAAAATGACAATTTGTGGCAGTTATTAATCTATCACTTTTAACTATGTGAGTTAAATTAAAACTGAGGACCAACCCAACATAAGTTTATAATGTATAAACTCTTCAATAAAGCATCTTTCCCCTTCGGGGTGGGGAGTTAAAAGGAGTTGGGGAGGGAGGGACAGGTAGAAAGATCAGGTAAGGTTAGCAGTGAGCCCAGAAAACACAGAAAGATCGCACAAACTCTAAGAAGTTGTTAAAGGCAAGAAAAAAAGGCAGAATGAAAGAACAAAGATGTGAATAGAATCATCTAACAGCAACAGGGAAGCTAGATACCAAATTTACTTTCCTTTAAACCTAATGATAATCAAGAGAAGGAAAAAGAGAAGAAAAAAAAATAAGGGAGAAATCCGAATTCAGGGCAGAAAGGAACAAATGGGGAGATGAGGAGCAATGTGGGGCAATAAGAGAATGAGTGAGAGAGAGAGAAAGAAAAGATGAAAGAAAGAAAAGAAAGAAAAGCCAAACTTTG